GAGTACAGTGTTTGCATGTTAAACATAGCACGCATGACCCTCCTTTGAAGATGTATGCAACGAATGAGAATTAGCTACACATAGCATTAAAAGTTATTACTCGTTTTAAGCTCACTTCTTTTGACGTCAAAAGGACAAAGAGTGATGGTGATACTGAGCACAAGGGTGTCATGTTTTATACATAAAACACGAACAGAGGTATTATTATTCTACTTATGCAGCTGAGTGATTAAGTAGACAGCTCTGTGGTCATAAATAATAGGGACATTGTCTCAGTCTCTTAGGTCAGAAATATTCATTGTTAATAACATTCTGGGGAAAGAACAGCTCGTGTTTTTCATTATCACAGAGACCTTGTTAACCACTTTCTTGGACATGCGCCCTTATTTTTCCTGCAGGACTAAACACGCGCTTTGCAGACACTTCAAACCATATCTAACTCCTATTGATGAGTGAAGACAAGATTGTAGATCTGGGTGGAATATGATGAAGCCTTTAATATGTTAAAAAAAAAAAAGCAGTAGTGTGTTACACTGTGTTTGTGGAGAAGTTCCTGTGGGAGCTGCCCTGGTGAATTAATCATGAACTCTCTCATACTGACCGTACAACTCAGATTAAAGGAATTCATTAAAGGGTAGCAGCAGACTGATGCAATCAATGACAATCCATATGCTTATAGCAAGGGAGGTGAACTATAGGATGTGGAGAATGTTAATACAGAAATGTAGTTTGAAATCAATATATCACAATATGACAATGTACAGTGGTGGAAGAGGTAAAGTAAAAGTAAAAAGTAGAAATACTATAGTACGAGTAAAACACAAATTTGAAGAACAATAACAAGTCATCACAATATGATTCCACTGAAAGCCAACATACAAGCCTCACACTCATGATGAAATGAAATATGTCACTGCCATGTACAAGGACTCCAGACCAGATTGGACTTCACTAGCCTGCCAAGTAGTTGTAGTAGAGAAATCTAATAAGCTGAATTTAACAGCTCAATAGATTTTCATTTGGTACTTAAGTTGTTTTTTCAAGTCTCGTTTCATTTCTATCCTCTTACAAATATCTGTACTTTCTACTCAGGCTTGTTATTTTAGTTTGAATGCATTTGAGGGGATTTAATGATTATTATTATTGTTCGCATCATTGCACGCCTTCCCAACATCAAGACAAGTGCAGACCATGCATGACAGGCCTTTTCGATGTAACAAGTTGAAAACAGACACTTTTGACTCCTTCAGGCATATATGGTGGCTCATACACTCATCATCATTCTTGAATTGTCCATTGTTAGCTCAGCACCAGGTAGGGCTCTCCTGTCTTGCCTGTCACCTCCATGTGTCCTGCACACAGAGAGCCCATGCACTGCGCTCTGGATGATTTGCCCCCTGCCTGCATTGTATTTCTCACATCAGATGGTGGTCTCTGAGATGCAGAGTCTCAGCTTCTCCACTCCTTTATGTTTTGACGTTCCCAAGCCTAAACCGGGATTACATTTTCCTGCATGTGTTGACCAGCCTCTGATTTTCATTGCAGCATGCTCCTGGAGTGACGCACCACCTCGATCAATCTGCAGAGCTGTTTGTAGGTGTTGACTAGAAGAGTAGGAGAAACTGTTTTAAATTCGATTTTACAGTCCGTTTATTGGCTCTGATTTTCAGATCTGATAAAAATTTTAAAGCTGGTCTTTTATTGTGGGGAAAAATTACCCAGAGTATTGAAACCTTCCCAGCCTATGCTTCTCTGAAAACAGAAATAAAAACTAAGCACCCACTTAGCTGCCAATTATTCATCATCTTTATTTAAAGATTTTCTTAGGCCTTTTGATTCTTTTTAACCTCCTGTGTTCAAGTGAGTGAAACAGGGTGAATCAGAGGAGATTAGTCTTCAGCAGTGAGATGTTAAAGTGTTGAAATACTAATCTCCAGTGTTCAATATTCTACCCTAAAAATCCTGAAAAGCTTTGTTGGTTGGCAGGAGATTGAGACATCAATGAGACTCCTCAGACAGGAGAAACGTACGCTCTGAGGAGTTTTACTATGTTAGCTACTGGAGCGATACAAACAGAGGCAGATGAACTGTATACTGCTTACTATGCAAAGGCCTATGACTGACCCTTAAATGGGATCAAGTGCAACAATATTCTTACTAACTTTAATTATCACTGATAATATAGTTTATGTGTATTTACATAAAACATTTATTGTTAGTATTAAGACACATTTCAACCTTCTGATATACAGAATATACATGTGCCGCAAAACAAACCAGTCAAAGTCAAAAAGCCTCAATGAAATCAGAGGCTCAATAAAGAAAAGCTCAGGTGCAGAGAGATACAAGATATTAAAGGCCCAACGAAATGTTAAGAAGCACCAGGTATGAAGCTCAAACTAGCAAATAAAACTTTAGCTTGCTTAATCTTTAAGTAACGTAAGTATGTTCACTTAACTAGATTAAAAATGGCCAAGAGCTTACTTAAAATTGCCAGTGTTGGTAGGCTAAATATGAAGCTTCAGCCAGCAGTCAGTTCAGCTTAGCTTAGCTTAGCTTAGCATAAAGACTGGAAACAGGAGTAAATAGCCTGGCTCTTACCGAAGGTATCACAAGTTTTCATTCTTACACTACTTTTTGTATGAATTCAACTTATAATATATCACATATTACTTAGGGAGATGAAGACAGAGCCAGGCTAGCTGTTTCCCCCTATTTCCAGCCTTTATGCTAAGCTAAGAGGTTGCTGGCTGTAGTAGCTTCAAATTTACCAAACAGCGAGACAGTAGTGTGTTTCCTAAAATGTGGATTTATTCCTGTATTGTTTGGTTTTCACAGATGTTAAATCAAGATTTTACAGTTAAAATAAGTAACTTTTGATTCGTATTTATTCCTGTAAGAACCTTTGAAACCTCGTCATTAACAAATCACTTCATTTCCTCTACTAATTCCATCCTACACTAATTCAATGGCAATAACGTGCGCCAAGGCGTGTTATCTTTCAACAATGGCCCATGTTCAAGGCTGAAGCAGACACTCATAAATCATCCAATGCAATCAATACAGGAGGGATATAAGATGCCGCTGGGCTGGACTGTAGGTCCCAAAAAAATAGGTTATGTAAAAGTTCACTTACATAATATTTTTTTCTACAGTGGAAAATCTCAGAGTACGCTTGAAAGCTGCAGGACAAACAAATAATGATCTTCTCCTGTTTGTTTTTTAATCAAACCTTCTTACCGACGGTATCCAAATGGAGAATATGAAATATTATGGAATAGTCTTTTTTACAGATAAAGATTAATAGCAGTCTTGGTGTAAGCTATTTTAAATTAGCCATAAAGTAGTTAGTAAGTCCAAGTGTAGTTTCCCTGTAGATAATTTACTTTTGAATCGGTCAGTTTAATGATTACGTTAAGGGCTGTTTCCCATGAATGAGACCGAATACAGACCAAATGAGGAGTGAACCATGTGACCAGTATTAGTATCCACAGGAGGTGCCATTGTCTTTCAACAGCAAATTACATGTCAAGGTATTTCACTGAGAATAGAGAGCAGCTGATAAATCAATACACTTTTTGTCTAAAAAAAAAACAGGTCAATGCCGTTTATCAGAGCCAAACAAAGGAATGAATAAGCAACATGACATCAAGCTGTCTGGTGCCAGTCCTTGCTCTGACATGTTATATGAAAATCTGGATGTTGGTGAAACAGAAAAAATTTAGACAAATCAGTTTAATCAGAGACGGATATCTACTCGGCACCCATATTATTGCATAATAGCTGTAAAGACAAATAGAAACAGAGCATGACAGGCCACAAGCTGAATAAGGAGTTTGGTTCATAAGGAGTTGGTTGTGATGTTTAGGTGGGGCCTTTAAAGTATCAGGTTGCTATTATTTTATACTCCAAGAAAGAATCTGACACCTCCCTGGGGCATGCTCACTTTGACAAAGATGGACTCCCTCCGTACTTTAAAACCAGGCGAGTGCCTGTATGAATACAATCTCAATCATGCATCAAATAGTCTGTTACAAGCCTGGCTTCACTCCAGAAACATTTCTCAATTTGAATAGTATTTATTAGTGTAATTTTTATTATCTTAAAAGCAGTAACATAACTTTCAGTGAGTAAAAACACTCAAATATCAAACCAGTGATTCAGTTCTGGTTACGCCTCTTTAAGGCTTATCCAAAATATTAATCTTTATAATGATGTTGGCTATGTTAGTTATTGTTACTGGAGAGTGACTCACCCAGCCCAGGGGCAAGCACTTTGGTTCTGCAATTTGTATTTAGTAATTATTTCTAATTATGTACGACTGAACTAATAAATCAAGATAATGTAGACATTCCTGGTGCCTGCTGAAATTTCTTTCTGATAAACAAATATATTTATTAACTCCTGAAGAATATTAAATGTGTTTTAAAAGTTATATTAAACCTATATGCATCTCTTTAAGTTATACTTTAAAAACAGAAAAATCCCTGTGGAATATAAAATATGTTTAGTTTCACTTCCTCAATATGTGACAAGTTGTTAATGCTATGCAGGTGGAGTTCATTCAGACAACTTGTTATCTGAGTACAAACACATGCACAGAAAACACTCCCGTCCCTTTTGGGCATTTTCCAAATCTGATGTAACATTGGCAACAGTTAGGGAAGCTTCAATGGAAATTAAATAGGGTCTTTGTCTGTGAAGGACTTCAGGGTGAGTGTTATTGATCAGCGACACTGAGAGGGAACAATGCATTCTGCCTATCTTCATGGCCCCGAGAGACCCGTTTTGGATGGGTTTTTGTTTGTGTGTTTTTAAACTGTATTGTAATTTGTTACAACCCGCTGAAAACATTATGTCTGCTGAACTGTTTTTATCAAATGGCGTGCGGATGTATTTCTGGAACAAACTCAGTTGTATTCTAGTTAAATACAATTTTTTTTTTATGGGCTATACTTGCAGCGCTGAGACATACAAGAATAAAAAACATTAGGGTTACGCATACTTGAAATCATGTTTTATTCACAAAAAAAGGACAATTTCAGGCACTTGTAAAGTAGGTCATTTGTCTTTACTCTGAGATGCCAAGAGTCGCCCTTCTCTGTTTTTCAAGCTCATCAGACACACACTCTGGCAAAGTGCTGGCGTTAAAGGAAATACACTGAATTCCTCCCGTCCGCTTGTTTTGTGGGACCTGTGCCCCGCTGCATCTACATTTAATTTTTAGCATTTGTATTTACCTTTGGGTTGACTTGGCTGGGTGTGTTTCAGCTCAGACAGGTTCAAGTACAAACATTAGATTGAACAGACTTTCAGATAATCCACTGAGGATCTATAAAATATAGTATTAGATCGAAAAGTCTACCTTTATTAAACTTTAGTCAAGTTCAACTAAGTGCTAAGAATTATTTGCAAATGCTACTTCATTGAGGAATGGCCAGATCTTCCTCAGGTTGGGTTTCCTTTGAGAAAAGAGACCACAGACAAGTTTCTTGTCAACATGTCGGCTCTTGTTTCAAGGCTGATCTTGATGAGACACCTCTTTGAAATAATTGTCTCACTTTTTCTCCCACCACCAACGTTCCTTCTCGTACTCGTACTTCGATTTGCACTCAGTCCCATACTGTCGCTCCTATACATGTTCTGTTTTTGACTCACTACTATCCCTTTTTTCCACTCCCTGCTTGCCTTCAGTCTCCTTTTTCATCGCTGCTGTCCTGAAGTCTCAGGACTCTCTCCAAACGTTTTGCCCTAATGGGGGGCAACTGATCGTACATATCGAAGCCAAACTCTGAGTGCTGTTGTGGCAAACGGAAGAGAAGCAAGTGGTTCCGCAACACCTAGAAATGAGATGAACAGTGAGAAGGAGGTGAGAGAAGCAGCTGCAGTGGTGGTGTAAAACAGTGATTCCCAATCAGGGATACTTATACCAAAGGGGGTAAATCTACAGTATGTGGAAATATTGTGGAGTAATTCAACTAATTTAAAAAAAGATAAAAGTACTGGATAAATGGTTAAAATAGCTAAAAGTAACAGATTTGTTTTAATATTTAGCTTAAGACAGTAAATAAATGATTGAAAGAGCAACAAAAAATACATAAATTGTTGAAATAGATAGTTTAAAGTAATGGATAGACAATTTGATAAACAGCTAAATTAGATGGCAAAACGTTAGGGATGAATGCCTGAAATAGCTGGAAGAAAATGAATAAATTGTTGAAAAATAATGGGGTTTTTTTTAAGAAAACAATATACACACATATATAATTAATAGTGTTAAATCCAGTTTCAATCTCTGACAAAATATCAGACGAAAAAGGTTGGGAACACCTTCAAGTAAAGAACAACACAAGGTTTAATTGTGGGACTTGTTGCAGTGTCAAAGACAGGATGCAGATGTATTCAATAATACTCGGGGAACAAAGTTATTACGGAAAGCTGGAACTAATACAATTAACTAGGTGTTAAAAGACATTGTAGAGAAACTGAAAAACCAAAACAGACCTAGAAAGAAAAACTCTTTGTTGCTGAACTCATTACTCAAAAACAATAAAGATGAGATCATTACCACATACAAAATTAACTCTTAAGCCATAAATGTGGTAGCTTTAAAGCAAATGAAAAAAGCTACAACCACCATAGATGGTACCAGAATAACAGTAACTTGTGAAATAATGAGGCTGATATTGTCTAAGGAATGTGGGGAAAACATCATTTGTGAGAGGCGATGGGGGAAAGAGGGGGTACAATCAATAAACACCTCGCAGCGCATAAAGATCAGAGAGAGAGAGAGAGAGTGAAGTACCTCATCAGTCAGGTAGTAGATTTTTCTCAGCATACTGTGTCGAGCTGCTTCAACCTCCTGGAAAAGGACGAGGGATGTAAAGATCAAAGGCCTCATTGATGTACTGTAATGATGCACTTTACCTCTCAGTGTTAACTTAAAAAAGCTCCCCATCCGTATATATGACTGTGTTCAGCTCAACTGCTCTGAAATAATGTCTTTGTGAATAAAGTAAATGAGTTTAAGTCGCTAAATGCGTTTCTTGTTCTAGGATGTTAACCTGCAAACCTCACAGTTGAATTAGTCACATACCATAACTTAAATCAAAATTCATCGACAGGAAGGAGCTATATTAAATGTATAAGACAAACTCAGAGGCTGCTCCTTTCACAGTTAATCAATAAAATGAGGACCGGTTTTGTAGGCAAATTAAATCTTTAAGATTTTGCATTCAATGAGCTCATATTTGGCACAGATAAAGTTTATAAATCCCTGTAAAACCAAAAAGTACTTCCCACAAATTCAGCCTCCTATTCAGTGCAGCTGCAGCACCTTCTGGATTTACTAAATCATTACACGTGTGGCAGTTTGCCTTAGGTTTCACTGCATCTGATTAAAAAAAGCCACAAAGCACTCTATTAACATGAGTACTACACAACACAATACAACAGACTTCATCAAGACAGACTTGGATTCGGTTTTGAAGTCTCTGGGTTGCTATCATAAATCATTAAAAGACTCAACCAATTTCCTTTACAGCACTTAATATAGAGACTATGTGTGTGTGTGTGTCAGTGTGCAGTGTTGTACCTGTGCAGCAGCATCCTGTGAGAAGATGAAGGAGTTGACGTGAGACAAGGCAACCACATACAAGACAGGACACCAGCGAGGCTTCAGGGTCCCCGTTACCAAAGAGCGGAAGTACAGATGGAGGAGAGGGAGGGAGTCTTCAGGGGGAGACGTGAACCGCTCAATAGGGATGGAGAGCTTCACATGAGGAGATAGAGATAATAAATGAATCCAATATGATATATGATCAAAGAATACTTGTGTGGGGAAAGTAAGAGGCTAAACCTCCTCATTATTACCTGGTCCAAGGTGACTCCCAGTGACCTCAGCATCCCCACATGTTCTCCAAACACAGCCAGCTTCATGGTGGTGTTGTACCTCCGCTGCAGGGGTAAGAGGACCCAGCAGCCAAACAGCCGGTCTCCAAAGGACACCGCTTCATACTGGCTCAAAAGAGCCGAGTACAAGTCCTGGAACGAGGCTAGACCTGGAGGAGGGACATTCAGGTCCAACGAGTCCAGCCTGGATCTCCTGTAAATGGAAGAGTTTAATTGGAGTTTAGCCGTCAGCTTTCTCTGTGCTCAGTTTAGATTTTTTTTCTGTAGTAATAAAAGAATATAAAATATTGTCAGACCTGGTCAGCAGTCTGAACAGACCCCAGGTCAGTTTCTGAACAGGTCTCTCCAGGAATAAGTCACTGGAACACAGGAACACACAGGACAAGCGGGCGAGCTTGGCGATGGGCAGGATCACCTACAACATGACAAAATATTCAGGTCGTTAATTACAATTAAAATAATGTAATATTTCCAGACAGAGACACACTAGAGGAGAAGTGTGACCACAAGAGGATCCAACAATAACACTTAGAATTTATTTTTTATAGATATACTGTTATTAGGGCAACAATCTACAATTACTTTCATTATTCATTAGTCTGCTGATAATATTACCCAAGGCGGTAATTGGTGTGGGCTGATCTGGGTTTAAGTAAGGGGAGTTTTTTCTTATCTAAATCACAGGTCTGAAGGTAGAGGGTGTTGTATTCTGTACAGACTGTAAAGCCCGTTGATGCAATCTTGTGCTAAAAAATTCACCTGCCCTGACTTGTTTTTGTACCTTTAGTGCGTCCTCCCTCCAGACCTCCAGCAGCAGCAGCCACTGCAGACAGTGGGTCACCACCTGCAGAGCCCCCTGTGGGAGCTCCTCCACCGCTAACCCGCCACCGTCAGACACCCCTGTTCGTTCATACAGGCTGACGAGCGGAAGGAAAGGCCAGTCGGACGGCAAGGTGGGACCAGTGAGCTCTGGGAGGAGATGGGAGTTGATCCATGGGTTGCGGCCGAGGAGAGCGTCTCGGGACGTCAGCACGGATGGCTCCAGGTGGGCCAGGTGAGTGAGGAAGCAGCCTCGTATGGATGGTAGCTGGACACAGGCTTCTCTCAGGAGGGCTCCGACGGTCTGGAGAGAGGGAGAGGTTTGGTGCTGTGTTTGCTCTTGGAGTTTCAGCTCTCCCAGCTCTACAGCCTCAGGTCCTCCACTGTGGCCCTCTCTGGAAAGCAAACACATAAACTGAGTAATAATAGAGGAAGCAAAGAATGTGGAACATTACTTTTGGTGGAAACAGATCATTGCTTGATTTGATCCAGTTCCAAAGGAAGGTACATTTGAAGAAAATATACATCATCGACCCCATTTTTCAAGCACTAATCTAAACTATTATTATCAGATAGAATGTATTATATGCAATCAACAAAACAACAAAAATAAAAAGCTCTTTAGGTTGACTGCATTTGCTCTTACTGGCAATTAATCACAAATAAAGCTTAAGTTAAACTTACGATATAAAGTCCTTGCTGAAGATGATGGTGGACAACAGTTCATGTGCCAGGTACTCACTCCCAGGCAATAACCATGGCAGCAGAACCAGCGCCACCTGGTGGTACAGTGAGGCATGCTTGGCCACTTGTGGCTCAATGGTAACCTGAGATGAAACAAAAAAAAGAGTAAAGTAGACGCAGCTTGATGACAAATGTATGTAAAGCAGCAAATAACACTCAAGAGGACAAATAATTAAATCAGTTTATCTCAGATTAAAACTAAATTTATCCACACACTGTCAAAAGATCAGACAGGAAGGAAATCACAATGACCTGCACCTACTGATACTCCTTCCATACAAAACTATACATCTGTTGGTTTAAAAATACAATTAAGCACAGAACAGGATGCATTATGAGGCATTAGTTAGGAACAGAACATAATGTTGCTGAATGAAACAAAGCCTGAACTGCATGTTTCAGGTCAACAGAATATTGTTTATGGGGGTCTGATTGATGTTCCAGCCTACAAGTCTGTGTGCCAGCCGGAGCAGCAGGTAGAGGAGGTGGTGTTCGTGACGGAGAAGCCAGGCTCTGGTGTGAGACAAGGTGGGCGTAGCCTGACTGCAGCTTCGCAGGTAACCAATCACAGGTTCTGACAGGAGGAGGCCAGTGAACTACAGAGTGGGAGTCAAACACAGAAAAGGCAAAATGTGAGATAATATATATAGGATTCTGTGTATGTCACCACGAGATGGCAGCAAAATAAATCCAGCTGTGATCCTAGCTCAGTGATAGTCTAAGTAGTTCATATTTGGCTGAAGAGGTACTTGGCAGTTAAAAGATGTAATGAGAAAACCTGCAGACTCTATATCCCGTTATTGTCTGTTCCTGTCCTCAAAGGACATAAAATACTCCCAGAAAAAGTCTTTAGTGAGACCTACCTTGCTGCTGAGGCCTTTGTGGATGCCAGTGATTGTTTCCAGGAGGAGCCCCAAGCCTGTGAGAAGAGGGAAGGGAGAACTGGGAACAACCAGTCCCAGATGGTCCCTCCATGCTGGGCAGGCCAAACCAGGGAGGCTGGGAGTGGTCTCTGGGCCTGGATGACTAGACTGGATATTACACACTACTGAGGAAGACCTGGTGGGAAAAAAACATTTATCAGTAACAGAAAACATTGTGCTGCTGATGAAGGTCAATACAAAATTGTATAAGCAAAACAAAGGCAACTGTCATCTGTATCAGACTTACTTTAGGTTCTTTATCAGGCCTTGAACAACATGGTGGGACAGCAGGGGGAGGAGAACCTCAGACGTCAGCAGCTCCAGTTCTTGAAGCGTCTCGACTGGTTTGAAACAGTTCTGAGGACGAGAGTCTTGTTATTGTAATTTAGTTCAACAAATTGTTTGCATATTAAAGCCACTCTCCTGTTACATTTTGTTGATGTACAGCCTAAACTCAGTTTTTCAAATGTGGCTTTGTAAGGAGGCTGATACACAGTTACCTCCTCACATACAGGAAAAGAAGCACCTGGCAGGAAGCAGTACCTGTCTGGAGAGCTGATGGTAGTAAGCTCCGAGGTAGGTCAGGTAAGCTGGTATCACAGCCAGGCTGCTCTCTTTATGAGCTGGATTATCAAGGCTCTTCACAAAGCCCTTCAAATGCCCCAACAGGGATGCCTGCAACCCTGCGACATGACCCCAGGACACTGTAGGAGGAGGAGGGCACTCTTCTCCCTGAGAACTGAGGGGGTAATGTGTAGGTTAAGAAGGATTCAGTTGTGTTGTGTGATGCTTCGTGTAGCAGCAGGGTTTTTCTAAAAACACTTTAATCCTCATCTTTACCTGACCATGCCAGCCTGTAGCTCCTGGTGGCAGCCAGCAGTGTGTGTGACCTGTGTTAGCAGAGAAAGAAGAGCCAGGACCCGCTGGAGCTGCAGGGGCAGCAGAGGATCTGAGGGGGCCAGGACTCTGTGAACTGACTGTAAGGCCTTCGCTAAGCCTGGATACAGGTCTCTGTGGGGAAATAAAGACAGGATTGTGATAAAGCACTGTGAGAGAAGAGAGGAGAGGATTACACCGCCCTTATTTTTCGATGTAATTATTGGACTTTTTTATTCTTGATTTATTGTCCTGTGCGGGCTCTTCAATAACTTAAAACTCTTGAGGCTTAATCAGTGTGCGCCCAGGTGGACAATCAGTAAAGGTGGTTTATTAGGCCTTAGGTTGTGGCCTTGAATGTATTAACTTACATGTATAATTTGCAGGCCTGTCCGTAGCCGACTGCTACAGCCCACAGCCTGTAAGCCTCAGTGGAGATCCTGAGGGCCTCGGTCGGTTCCAGCAGCAGCTCACCGGGCTCAGCACTCAGCAGACAACACAGACGCTCCCTCACTCCAAGAGAGTTTAACTGGGGAGAGGAGAGAGGAATATACACTATTAATGCTTATACATGTGATAATAATGTGATTGCTAATGATTTGATGGTACATAGTGTCAGCAGAAGTTACAAATGCGTGAATAAATCAAGATTAATAAAGTACTTTGAAAAATGTGGCTTTAAAAATAAATGGTTACGGGTCCCTTGACTCTTCTTATATTTTATGTTTTGTCTTTTACAGAGAGACAATAATCCTCAAAGTCAAAAGCTATGCGCACAAAACAATTGACTTATTCAAAAAATGGTGTCTGCACATTCACACACCACTGGATATGTTCATATATGCAAAGCAGCAACAGTATGAAGACAGCTCATCCCCGACAGTTTCCACAGCATTCCACAGTGGCACTTACCAGTCTGGCACAGGCATGTCTTCCAGAGGTAGCCAATACTCTTAACAGCTTCATGGCGCTGGCCAGAGGGAGCCCGTAAACCGACTGAGGAAGGGGCGAAGATGGCGCTGTCCAGGAAGTGGGAAGAAACTCTGATAACACCATCTCCATCAAGCGAGGACAGTCAAGCACCTGAGAGTGAAATACATTTTTACTGTATCTGTCCAGAAGTTAAATACAGACAATAATGATTAACTGTACTTCAAGAATGGCTTAAAAAAAAAATCTGGATATAGTTAAATGATTAAGTGACTGTTATTGTTGTTACCTGAGTGGAAGATGAGGCGGAGTGCCTAGCGATACGAGTCAGGATCTCCAGGATGTCATGGACCACTCGAGGAGAAGGTCGTACCACCTCGAGGATGTAACGTAGCCTGGGGAGCAGTTTCATCTTCAACAGGCCCTGAAACACAGTCAAGAAGAATCATTCAACTTTCGCCTAGAGATCTTCCTAATACAAAAACTCCAAATGAATTCTGCTTGTTTACCTTGACAACATCCTGTCTGGCCACATCGTGATCACTCTTCCTCTCTTCCTTCTCCTTAGCCGTCAACCTCATACATTCAGGCAGCCCTTCATCCTCCACTTCTTCCTCCTCCTGCGCAGAAGGCAGCAGAGGGAAGGAAGCCAGGCCACGAAACCAAGAGAAGGTGTAGTCCAAACACTCCTGGGAAGGGAAAATAAATTGGAAATGAACAAGAGTAACTAGAAGAACTGTAACAGACAATCAGAGTGTATTATATCTTATACAAGTCAAGTTTTCAGTCCTGTTTTTCTGACATATTTTGCGAGAACTGGTCAATGTTACTGTGTACTTTGTACTGCACTTCTCAGAATCACTTCATAACCAAACCTTAGTAAGTCTTTGGAGATATTATGACTTGTGCATCGCTTTATTTTAATATTCCGTTTTAATGTTATACTTCAAGTTGTCTTACTTCATCCTCTGCACACACAAGTAGTGCTTTAAGTGCATGGACAGCGGCGGACATCGCTCCCTCCACGCTGTCGTCCAACGCAAAGCGGAGCAGGAAGAGCAGGCCGGCGTCGAGCAGAGTGGACGTCACGCTGCCTTTCAGAACAGGCAGGTACTCCCCAGCACGTGCCTACAGGGTAAGAAGTAGAAATGAGTGACTGCAGACATGTGTCTCTGCGGATATGCATGACACCGTATGCGTTTGCGTACCTTTGAGAGGATGTTGGCCAGCATGCTGAGGGCCAGACTCCTCTGCTGGATGATCTGACTCCGGGACAGCAGGAAGAGTTCTTGCAGGGAGTAACCTGCCCGCTGGAGAGAGATCCTCAATGTCAAGAATGAAATCATAACTTCCAAAAAGAGACAGAGCCTTGCCTGAAGTTTGAGATTACCCTGACTTGACATGATGACATTTAAAACTACAGGTAGAATCTGAAGTACCTAACCAAAGTTTTATTTTTTGACGTGTTGCCTACTGACCTCAGGCTCCTCTCCATGGTGGTGCAGGCCTAAGTGGGTGGGCAGATCCTCAGTGGGTGGAATTAAGGTCCCTGCAAAGTCAAACCGAGCCTGCATGGCCTGTCAGGAAACCACAGAATGTGTTGGCTTCACAGCACAAGATCTGAGTTGAAATTAATGAATGTTTATTAGTATTGTAAGAAAGAGCTCCCTACCTTCTTCGTTCCTTTCCTTCTGGGTGCAGGCAAGTCTCTCATCCACTCCAGCTTCTCTGGCTCCAGTTTATTCATGTGGACCCATTCCTTCTGAGGCTTCACTGGCAGATCCTCCTCTGAATTCACACACACACAGAAGGACGAAGAGAAGACCAGAAACAATGTATGATTGCTCGCATTAACTGGTACTGGTAACTGTTGCAGCCAGCACACATGAAGTGACGACTCCAACATGTGCCTCCATTGAAGACACAAACTACTGCTACACTGACTGAATAATACACATATGCAGAAATTCTGATGAAAAAACTCACAGAAACATGTTTTCAGAAGAAAATGGAAAAGCCACTTGAACAAAAACACATTAGACGATTACAAATATTTACTGTTACAAAAACTTTATAAAAAATTTAAATGAAAATAAAATTATGGACTCCTTACAATATTGTAAATAATCACATTTTAACAGCAGCAGGTGGCGTTGTATCAGTGAAACAATGACCATATGAAAAGTAAGCAAATTAACTTTAGTCATTAAGGTAACTTGGTTGGGTGAAAACTGTATTTAAACAAAGTATTCATGCGGGAGAAACTGAATCCAGATCTATGGAACATTATGCAAAATATTATACAAAAACATCTGGAAAGCTTGCGTTTCCCATAATACTAAAATAAATTACTAACTAAATACATTTTGCAGATATAATACCATAGTCACCTGGAGGCACTGCATTACTCCCTATAACTATGAACTATTGAAGATATTCAGTGAAAAGCTGAGGCAATGTCTGCCTATTTATTCTCAACCCAAAACAAGGATGGATTGTTTTCTCTAAAAGGGAAAGTAGAGGAGACAATGAATGATCTCTTCCAGAAAAACAAAAAAAGCTCTGTTCATTTTGTTTTTGGAAAACAGAATGGTATAAATGATGTGCACGATCTGCCTTCATATGATCCATTAGCAACGCTTTCATCAGCACTGGGAGTATCCTTTGAATGATCTGCAGGAACTTAATTGCAGAGAGTGGCTACTTCTGGCTTGGCCAGGCTTTTCTGCTAATCACACAAAGTGAAGTCAATGATCAGCTTAATGTCTGGATTATAGCCATGCAGCAGCAGCATCCCACATTAGTTAGTTATACAATTAGAGAATGGATGCTTGGAGGAGTGAGGAGAAGAGGCAGAGTGGAGAGGGAAATGATCAGGTGAGGCAGATAAAGGCAGGAATGGAGGCAGAGAAAGCTGGCAGACAGCCAGATGTGATTGTCTTCCTGAACGTGGACAAACGCTGCCTCATTCTCATTTATTCTGCACATTCTGTACATTCAGGGTTTCTCACCCAGCATGTATCACTGATCGGATAATCTGACAGCGACAAAAAGTTATAATTTAAAAACAATGTGAAATAATGACATAGCATAGTCATCCACCTAACTAACATGCTGCTGATTTATGTATATCTCCAGCAGCAGCAGCAGCAGACACCAGGAGCAACTGACAAGCTGGAAGTGAAAAAAGGGTTTATTTTGAACCCATCATACCCGTCACAGCAGGTGCTGGTGGCAGTTCCTCCTCCTCCTCCTCTACTTCCATCTCTACTTCTTGGGGTTTCTGGAACAGCACAGCAGCACTGGAGGAGTCTCTGCTCACATTTTGAAGAGGTAAGTTTTCCCTGCTGCTTTTGGCCTGGGGGTGTTTGGATGGGGAGGCAGAGGACGGGACGCTCTGGGCTTTGCGCGATCTAACAAACTCCACCAGTCTAGGATCTTGGAAGCAGAAATAATCGCGTTATATGCAGTGGTACCAACAAAATACAATACAAAAACATAATGTCCTCATGTCTACAGATGTCATATAAACAACACCATTGCCTACCAAGCTGAGATAAGAGTTTTTTCTGCTCCTGTAGTATCTCAGACTGAGACATTGCCTGGAGTTTAGCCTGGTTCTCCCTGTGGATCCTTATGGTCTCTCCTGAGCTACCTCGGCCCTCAAGCCCCTGACCAGACACCAGCCTGGGACCTGAGGTTGCAGTCGGCTCTGGTTAGTGGAGAGGAGCAAAAAGACAAAGACAATAAAACAATAATGAGAAGAGGGGTTTCTGTGGTGAAAGAGAAAGGAGACATTTAGAATAATATAGCTGAAGCCTTACGATCATCTGTATCCATACTGGTTTCAGGAGTCTGAGCAGCTTCAGGTGCGCAGTGTAAAGGTGTGTTTCCCTCCTTAACTCTCTGAGACGCAATCTGACGTGCAAAGATACTCTTCTTTCCACCAGCTGAAGACAGTGGAACCTGGCCATAAATATGAATAAACTTAAAAACTGAAGATGAACGCAAACTCAAAAACACTAAATCTAAACTCACACCATTTATGAAGAATGTCTGGATTAATGTCTTTTTACCTGACTGCTGGTTTCTGAGCGGTGCAATACTTTTGGGAAAGCCATGCCTGTAAGTGGTGGTAGAGATATTGGAGTAGAGCTAGTATCTCTCTCCTTAAAAAAAAGAATATTGTTACAGATCCATTGATGAAATAATGAAAAACACAACAAAGTCTGTGTATCATGTCAAACTAAACATGTCACAACCAAAGTGGAAAATCTGATGAACAATATTTGACACACTGGATGCATTTATACTCGGAGAGATCCAACTGGGGAAATAAGCTACTTTATTTAGTACACAGGCACTTACAATGATCCTGGAGAGAACAGCACTGATGTGAGTGTCTTGTCTGTCCAGCCTCTCCTCAGCATCCTCACCCTCAAAAGTGACACGACTCGCTTTAAAGCGGGACTTCTTAGGAGGAGCTGGCGTCAGAGACGGGAGTTGGTCTGGAAGATCTAGAGGAAACAGAAGAATTGAACATCAGGTTCTCTTGCAGGGCTCAACAATGAGGATTGCCTGTTTGCCTGCGGGGAAAGTAGTCTTCTGACTGAAAAGAAACATCAATTTTAAACCCTGGATTTCTGTAATAAGCTTAACTATATATGCTGTCACATAAACCTAAAAATATAAGTGTCTAACGTGTTTATTACCGTCTTAGGCTCATGTTAAGCTCAAAATGTAAACATTCTCAATAATAAAAAGAAAAAAACAACACATCTTTTACCTTCTATGGTGACAACATCCCTCTGTCTTCCTTCATCTTCCCCGTTATGTTCCCCTCCGTCTCCTCCAGCCTCGCCTCTCCTCTTGTCGGGTCGGCGGACCACATTGGCAGCAGACGGGGTGCCGGAGGTCAGGAACTGCTCCTGCTCTCTCAGGAGGTCTGCCTCAGAGTCAGTGGGCTTGGGACGCCGCAACATTCCTCTGAAGGACAAAAAAAGATGATATTAAAACACTACCAGACTACTGGAGTGTAAAAAGGTAAAGGATTGTTCGGGGGGGGCCCAAAGCTGGTGGCTGCCCACAACATTACCACTACGTCCCTGGTGACAGATAAAGGACTGTAACTGTACTGAAACTCATTCAAGCTGTCCTCTGGTTCATTGACTAGTGTTGAACTGATAGATAGATCTGGCAGAGACCATCGTAATGTAATAAGAGTAATAACACGCTGTGTGTGTGTCTCATATGCTTTCAGGTAAAGGCTGAACTTGGTTAGCGTGATCTCAAGGCTAACTAACGCCATCTAGGAGTGTGATAAAGGACACAAAGCGACACGTTTACACCTACTAACAGAGTACATCAGCCATATCTAACGTTAACCATAGCTAGCTTAAATATTGCTGTTTTGTTTTCACGTGTATTCAAGTTTACATCCGACATGCACCGGGATGAACATAACTACCGTGCAGTTAGCGTTAGCTTAACGTCAGCTTAAAATCTCAAACCTCACTCAGTTGAAGATAAAATCATCCAAGAAAATACAAACTACAAGTATCTCTACAGTGTGGTCGTCTCTGTTGCTTTAAAATACTTGTTTGCAGTTGTGCTAGCTAACCTTCAGTTCAGTATCAGGGTCCGTGATACACAACACTCCGTAGACCACACGGAAGACTTTTGATGTGACACCAAACCCCACCTTCAAAATAAAAGCTTTGCCAGCACGAAGAAGGAGGACTGGGAGGCGTAGCGACTTTTTTTTATCGACTGCATCGCCCTCTTTTTCCTTAAAATGATGAATTTAGAGGCTTAGACGGCGCACACTGTTTAGCTGACTTGTTAGCAAATATCTTAATGCATTGGCGCTGATTTATGTCGTGGGACACCGTGGGTTTACCTCATCCTTCCGCCCTCATTCAGTGCAACGCATCGACATCTGGATAAACACAGTGAATTTGTGTTGTTGTTTGTTTTTTGTTTTTTTTTAATAATATGTGATTTCAGTAGGTGAATGAAACTGTCGTAAACCAGCCACTAACAACAAGCCTCGCTGACTGCATCATGGTTAACCTCTGCTGCCTCTGCTGCGGTGAAATCCCTCAACCCCGCCCCCCTCCGTCCGGGCAGTCGGGACCACCGCGGGATCCCCGCACCGTGCAGCAGCAGCAGCCTGCTGGCTCCGGCCCAGACTGTGTGGGGCTGAAGGGGGAACAAAAAGGGGGAGCAAACGGAGGTAGGAGAGGCAGTCAATAGACAAAGAGAAATTGAGTTTATAATCTCTGTCTGACATGCGAAAAGTGCAGCATGCTCTCCTCCGATCTGGACTCTGCGGAGGACGCGGCGGCCAGCGCTCCCAATGATGCTGAGGGAGAGGAGCAGCAGGAGGAGGAGGAGGAGGAGGAGGACTCACCGGCTGAAAGTGATGTCCTGGAAGAGGAGGTAGGTGTGCACTGTCCTATTATCAACTTAAACAAAACTATACTTTTAGAAAAGTATAAAAAAATAACAGCAATTCTGAAAAATAAACATTCATGCAGTAAGCTCACTCTAAGATGCTTGTTTCCTAAGCTTATTTCATAAAACTATATAAAATAATTTAGATTTAAAACGCATGCAATTTGATTTGTTTGCTAGGGGCTCTCTGGAAAATAAATCCTGTATTGACATCCTCTCAGTGCCATCACACACTTCCACCTGCAGCCAAACAGCCTCTGAAATGTTTGTCCATTTCACATAGTGGCAGTAGAATCCAGTGATGTGGAAACATCATACTCTCACTGTCAAAGGCATGCATATTTTTCCAGTTGTTACGCCAGCAAACAATTATTTTTCCAAAGCCGGACCACAGTTTGAAGCATTCATCAGTCCTTTAAGTGTGCGTGCTTGTGTTTGCTCCTCCAGGCCGTCTGTCTTTCACTGGAGTAATTCCTGTGATTCAATATGGGGGACTGGCTGTGTGCAGCCAGCCTTGGACAGACAGGTTGTCTTATTGAGAACAATTTAGTTTAAAGCAGCTTGTGTCTTTTTTTACAAACGTCCAATTTATCTTCAAGAGACTTATTTTAGCTGCTTGAAATCTGTTTAGATATAACCATCCTATCTGACTCATATTTATTCAGCTGGTTTAGCCTTGGCAGGATTTAACAGATATTTTATTTTAGAAGAAGAATTTAAAAAGATCTGCGTATTATAAGAGAATAAAAAGCATGATCTAGAACAATATTCCCATGGTGTTGAGTACAATCTGTAATAGTCTATGATGCCTGCAGTCAGGAGGCCTGGGATACTGAGAAGTCCGTCCTCTCTGGTACACGAGAATTGCATCCCTGTTTGCTCCATAAATAACTGAGGTGGAACCAGCAAAGTGACATCTCCACCCCTGTGTCAGCGCAGTAATGGATGGGCTGGTTGTCAACATAAATCCTTTCACTCCATAAAACACCAGAGGTTGTCTACAAGAACACAGGACCCCACTGGGAGGATTGTTGCCACAAGAACCAGAAACTAATATTAGAAAGTAGCATAAAGTCATTCAGAAAGTCTTGATGGATCTGACGGACAAGATGGGATCAAATTAATGCGTTAAACTCTCCAGAACTTTCCTCCTTGCAGATGCACACATTAAATGGTTGCAGTGGTTTAATCTCTTTATGCATAAAGGGTTCCGCTCTAGCTCCTTTGACTTTTAGTGTTACTGATGAAATAGCTTTAGGCCAGTGTCTCTGCTGAATGGGAAGATTCGACTTGCACTCAGTATTGCAAATGAGAGCACTCTAACCCCCCAATACTCTGCAAATAAGTGTGTGTGTATTAAGCAGTGCTGGGAGAAGTATTCAGATTGTTTTTATAGTACAAATAGTAATATCACAATTCAAAAATACTGCATTGTATGTGAAAATCCACATTCAAAATGTTACTTAAGTAGAAGTAATTATATTATTATCACATGTAAAAATACTGTTTATGCAGCAGAAGGGCTCTTGTCAGTGTTATATATATAATAAAACATTATATATATATATATATATATATATATATAAGTTCATTATTATTACTCATGTTAAAATGTGAGCAGCATTTTAATGTTGCTTCTGGTCCAAGTAAAGCAAATTTTACGGACTGTTAAACATTAAACAATGTGTTGATAGAGTTCATTATTAATTAATTAAAGAAGTTGTAACACAGCTGTCATATAAATGTAGTGGAGTATAAAGTCCAACATTTATATCGGAAATGTGACGGAGTAAAAGTATAAAGTAGCTTTAAATGGAAATATTCAAGCAAAGTGAAAATGTTTCTTAAGTACTGCACTTGAGTAAATGTACATATTCAACCACTCTGCTGAAGTGCCTGCATGAGCCAAGGTGTGTCATGTTTGGCTGCAGCTAATAACTATTTTCATTAACGATTAATCGTTTCAAAACGTCAGAAAACTCAGAGCCAAAGGCCACAAATTCCGATTGCTTGTAGGTGTTTTTTCAACTAACAGTCCAAAACTCAAATGTATTTCATTTAAAAGCCAGTAAATCCTTACATATGAGAAACTGGAACCAAAAATATTTGGCATTTTTCTATTAAAAGTTACTTACAAGTTACATTTAATAATATCATATTTTGCTGTTAGAGCATCATTTCTGCTCAAGGTATCTATGGAGTTCTATTTAAAGAGGAGCCCCCATAAAGTTTTAATAACTGATAACTCTGTAATTATCAATCAATATTAATTTATCATCATAATAATATTATGTCCACTTGAGAGCACTGACAAGTTTATCTGTTACTGTTAATGTTGTGTGTCGGTTGAAATATTGTTATAAAATCTTTCAGCTCAATCAATACTGGTGTTTGCCTCAGAAATCCAGTGTCAGTCTCTATTTGTAACTGTGAATTAATTTCCAAGGTTTTGTCTCTGTATACATTACACTTGTGTTACCCTGTGATATTGATGTGACACCTTTATTAGCAAGTACATCTGCTCTCTTGCAATATGAACTAAATTAATTTCAGAGATAGATGTGTGAAAACACCTCAGTTAATATTCTGTCAGCCGCTTTGACTCACAGCCTTCTGAGGACACTGCATGGTTTAATTGAGCTTTCTTTAGTTTGATTTACTTTGTGCTTAGGTTTGGAAAAAGCATGCCAATTTATAGTGCCGCCACATTCATTTGCATTTCTGCTGCAAGTCATAATGTCACCGCCATGTTCCAGGGGCTCATTGCTCTAAGTGCCTTTTCCTCATTACACTCTCTCTCTCTCTCTGTCTCTCTCTCTCTCTCTCTCTCTCTCTCTCTCTCTGCAGCAGCGTCCAGTGAAGCAGTCCCTGGGTGCTTGTGTCTGCCGGGAGTCCCACTGGCGCTGCCTGCTGCTCTCTCTGCTCATGTACAGCTGCCTGGGTGCAGTGGCCTGGTGCCAGCTGACCCGGGTCACCAAGATCAGCTTCAAGACGTCTCTCACCTCCTCCTTCTCGGCCTCCTTCACCTCCTCCCTTCGGGGGGCCTCTGGCATGGGCGTCGGAGGACACTCAATGATCTACCACGACAGCCCCTGCTCCGACGGCTACATCTACATCCCTCTGGCCTTCCTGCTCATGCTCTACGTCCTGTACATGGTGGAGTGCTGGCACTGTAGAGCCAGGAGTGAGCTGCAGTGCAAAGCAGACGTGGACAGTGTGTACGAGCGCGTGCTGCGGATGCGACAGGCCCAGCCCTGCATATGGTGGAAGGCCATCAGCTACCATTTTGTCCGACGGACTCGGCAAGTCACTCGATATCGCAACGGGGATGCCTACACCACCACACAGGTGTACCATGAGAGGGTGAACACCCATGTGGCTGAGGGGGAGTTTGACTATAGCCACTGCGGGATGAAAGACGTATCACGCGACCTCAGAGGCTTGGAGGGACATCCAGCAACTCGGCTGCGCTTCACCAAATGTTTCAGCTTCACCGAGGCAGGCCCAGAAAACGAATACCTCAACCAGAGAGCCAGGTTCTTCTCTGAAATTGAGGGTTTGGACGATTACATGGAGGCCAGGGAGGGGATGCAGCTGAAGAACGTGGACTTCAGAGAAAACCTGATAGCCTATGTAGACCCAGATAGGATGCCCTGGTACAATTCCCAGGTTGCCTTCTGGCTGGCAGCTCTGCTGATGTTGTCCTGGCCTCTGAGAGTGCTGATAGAGTACCGCACTGCTTATGTGCACTACCGCGTAGAGAAACTGTTTGGGCTGGAGTACAGCCCCTCTCCTCAAGATGAAGACAGGCCTTTGGGGAGTAACACCGGTTGTGTTATTCCAAGAGTAGACACACTGGACAGCACCGAAATGGAGTGGCACATTCGCTGTAACCGCCAGGTGATTCCCAGCTATTCCGAGGCCATGCTGATCAACATGAGCACAGCAGACTCTAACTCACTACAGGACACTGAATACACCTCGTCCTCAAACTGCTTCCTCCTGGACAGCAGCCAGACCGCTCAGAGCTACGGCGCTCTCCAAAGCCAGGAGGGCAGTGAGCAATGCAGCGAGCCCAACGGACGAGGTGATGGAGAAGGTAGGAGGAGGACCATCATCAGCTCCAGCTGCTCCTCCATCTTCTCCTGCCGCGGGGCGCTGTTCCACTCCCACCTCTCCTCGGACACGTCCCGCTTCTCTCTCTGCCGCATGTACGGCTCCCACCGCACCGTGGCCCTGTGGAGGAGCCGCAGCAGCAACCTGACGGACCCCTGCTGCGTGGACGAGCAGTGCTGCCGCTCCGACTCCAGCCAGCTGGCCCTCAGTGACAGTCCACCAACCTATAGAGACGCCCGGTTCTTCCCAGTTCTCATTGTGCACCGATCTGAGGGCTGCGGCAGCGAGGATGGGAGGGAAGTGAGGCGTTATTATATACGGAGAGGGTCGTCCTGTGTGGAGACTGCTCTGTGAAGGACATAGACACCTTTCATTAAGTCAAGATGGATTAAAATCAGTAAAAAAAAGAGATGGTGTTGTAGGGTTGGTCACTATAATATTAATGTGCTTTTTCAGGAAATTCCACTGTACATATAAAGAAACTGACTTTCTATTTTTTAACACAGTCACCAAACAGTCAAAGAGTCTTCATATTTAATTACACATTACACATCCATATTATCACAGTTAACGGTCCACTGTGTACGATTTAGTGGCATCTAGCGGTGAAGTTACAGATTGCACCACCATCGCTTCACGCTCTGCTTCCAAGCGTGAAGGAGGAACTACGAAACACAAACAGCCCTATCTAGAGCAAGTGTAGAAACATAGCGGTTCAACACGGCGGACTCCATGGAAGGCGTCCTGCTGTGTCTGTAGATAAAAACGGCTCCTTTATAGGTGACCAAAACATTATACCTATTTTCAGGTGATTATACACTAATAAAAACATACCTATGAATATTATATCCCATTTCTGCCAATAGATCCTGCTAAATGTTACACACTGGACCTTTAAATTGTCTGTATGAAAACAGCTACAGGTGTGAGACAGACAGTAATGTATCTAAGTGTATTGGGATATTGTGTGTACAATGACAATAATACCTGTCAGATTAAATTATGGTGCATACTGATACATGAAAACTGCACAACCTCAGCATCCTATTGTTTTTATCAAAAGTCATATTTTTTTTAAATCACAGGAAACAAACCTTCACTAGTTCCTACGTTGACCTTGTATGTGTTGTTACGTGTGTTGGGAGACTTACTGAAATCGTGCTATTCTTACATTCGCCTCTATATGTGAGAATGATACAAGAAAAAAAAGAAAAGTTGCATGTTATTACCAAAGGTATTGTCTTTTAGTTGATTCATAGACAGCAAGTTAAAACCAAAGACATTGAGAGTATTTTGTTTTGTTTTTTTCTTTCCAAAGAACTTTGTGAAACACTACACAGCATCAATTGATCAGAGATATGTGTGATGAGTGGAGAACATGAGTTGAATGTCAAAATGGAAGCAATAAAAAGTAGTTCTGAAAGACGATTGTATTACAGTGTTTAATATCAACCACAAGTGTGTATGACTCAGTTTACTTTTACCTGGTCAGATTGAAAGGAATATTTAGTGTTCGTGTTAGTGAAATGCATAGAAATACTACGAAGAGGGACTGTGGATTGTTTGGTTTTATTCTCTCAAATTAGCAAATAAATGTACAGTAGTGTGTGTGTGTGTGTGTGTGTGTGTGTGTGTGTGTGTGTGTGTGTGTGTGTGTGTGTGTGTGTTAGTATAGAAGATGAGAAAGAAGAGAGATCAGAGTTAAGTTTCTCCTGGGATCATGTTGATCTGAGGTGACGATGTCAGACACTCTCAGACTCACGGCTCTAACTCTGCTGTCCTCAGCTACAACAGAAGAAACACTACACTGACTTCAACCGTTGTGGCTGCAAGACAGGAGATAAACCGTTTATTCAAACTAAAGTTTAAATTCAGCATGTTACTTGAACTGGAGAGACAATTCTGGGCAAAACACAGGAAACAGAGCAGAAGAAGAGAAACGAGCTGTATAAGGTCACATAAGTATAACTTTTTATTTTTATAAATAACAATACAATGTGCTACAAAGTTCTCTTATTCTGTGATTGTATAGGTAAGGCAGTTTACCATAATACTCTGGAGGCAGAATACATATAAACTTAATTAAACATTTGTTCACAAACCCAAAAATGAACATAATATGTATTAAATATCTGGCCCCAAACCTTCATTTTTAACTTAAATACAGGAGCTTTGGAGCTGTATGTTTACACTGTTAAGGGGAGAGATAATGAAAGTGTGGAATAAGTATTTAAATCCTTTACTTCAATGAAAGCAATACTACAAAAATATTCCTTAACAAGTAAAGTTGTTACCCCCAGACTTAAGTACAGTACATACTATACAGCATATTATTCCTGTATTGGATTATTATTAATTAGTTATCAATTATTATAATCCAATGTTAAATACTTTATAAACTACTGAGTGGTTCTGTCTATAATAATGCATCATGTACCAGCAAAGTAACTACAGATATTTAATAAATGTAGGTAAGTAAAAAGTAAATTTCCCTGATTTTATGTTTTTGGTTTTGCTTTTGTTTTCTTTCTGTTGACCACTAGATGCCACAATTTTTAAGGACTATATTAATTAATGAATATTATTATATGTCTTCATGGGTACATTGAACTGCTCACTCAATAAGCTGTTAAAATGTTTACTAACCTATCTACATCTATAACCCATGTTATACCTTTTTCTCTCCTAAATGTATTTTCTCCCCTTTTGCATGGACAGAATGTAATTCTGAATGTATTAATCTGTAGCATTTAATGACGTGAACAATTATTCACTAATTACCCTATTACCATACACACACACACACACACACACACACACACACACACACACACACACACATAATAAATAAATAAAGGCCTGAATGGAAGTGCTGTCCTAGTTCTTTGCTCATGGAATTATTCCCAGACCACACAGACCAAGATTTGAATGGAAATTCACTTGCAGCCTATTTTAAACCCAACTCTCTATTTAACTCAAGATGTTGTGGTCACTGATTTGCTCTAACATATTCTTAAACCTTAAGCTTGTTAAAAGTACAATTAGGTACCTCTTTCTGTCAGCCATGATTTTGTACCTTTAAAATTAAACAAAGGTCCACAGTTCTCACTTTAAGGACCTTTTTTTTGCTCTGACAGAGGAAAAGAAAAGCTCCAGGTTTCTTGACTGAGCTTGTATGTGAGGAGATATCGGCACTGGGAATCTGGAAAATAGTAATGGAAAATGTTGCGTACACTTCTGAAAATGGCACTAAAGCCACTGATGTATGTTGGTCATTCCTTTTATCCCTGAGATCGAGAAGGGTCAGAGATAGGACAGCAGAGGATAGACAGGAGAGGGGAAAGAGAGAGGGGCCACAGGTTTGACGCAGCAAAGGGGCCACAGATCCAAAGCTGACTAAAGTCCAGGGAGATTGAGTTCAGCCACAGTGAAGACAGTTAAGTTTGTTGTTTGTGATGAAAACCTGGACTTTGTTCTTAATATTGTGTTGTTAATGCCAAAACTTTAAGACTAAACCAAGTCTGAACCACTGGAAGAATGAGTCAAAACTCTTGAGTAAGTCACTGACACTTGTGAAAGACGATGAAGCTCTTAGGTTGTGTTCATTGCTAGGTAGATTTAAGTTCATTTGAGTTTCATGTATGCATTTTATTTGAGTTAAACTTTTGCATTTGGTTTTGTACTTGCTCAACCCAAGGCAGTGTTTTCTTCTGAATATGACTGAATATGAAATGTGCCTTATGTGTTTGTCTGTACTTGTCATGTGTTTTTAAAGTTTCTCCACCTTCTCAGTTAATCAAACCAAAATATATTAACATTTAACATGAACATGTAATTTTTTGTCAAATATAATTAAATATATTTATAATATTTTTTATGCTTTTATAATTCAGTATTTCTTATTGAAGGTATCTTTGTAATTTTGCTCCGTTTTTTGCCCCCTGCACCCCTGGAACTGTTGTTCTTGCTGTATTTTGTGTCCCTTATGTAATTGTACGCAATGTTTTAACTAATAAAGTCTGTAAAAAAAAAAAAAAATCAACAACAAGCCCCTCACTGACGTCACTTCCAACGCGCGCGGGTTCTCATGCTAACGTCAGCTAACCGACCAACTGACAACTGACAACTATCCCGGACCTCAACGGCTCGTCAACATACTGTCAGGCTGACCACCGCAGCCCACGAACGGCTTCGTGTGGCCGCTGTAGACGGTCTTCAGTGTCCCCGGCAGCCATTCCGCTGTAGCACTGTGGAGAAAGTCAGAAGTCCGGTCTGTTGTTGACATCCATGACGGGATCGGATGTGTGTTGTGTCAGTAGCTCCTCTAGCTAGCGTCACTTTTTTTTTTTTTTTTCGCGGAAGTTTCCCCCCCTCGGTGGTATGCATTCAAACCCTTAGCGCACTCCGACTGGGCATTAGGCCGGACTTCAGTGTTTTAGTACTCGGGTTGCGATGAAGCTGCAGTGTGATGTCGAGGTGGTGAACCGGATGCTTCCCACGTTTGGGATGAAAAGTCGGGGCAAAGGGACGAGAGCGATGGTCTCCATCGGGAAGCATTTGGACAAGACGAGTCAACGCAGCAACGTTTACATGATGATCTGCACATCCAAAGACAGAGCGGGCTCCAAGTACAAGGTCAGTGTCTGTGGTTGTCTGTGGTTGTCTATGGTTGTCTTTGTCCTCTGTACTGTACTAACTTCTGTACTAACTTCTGTACCAACTACGGTACTACTGCTGGCTGTTAAAGCGGGAATTCTTAGCTCATCCCGGACTGTGTGGCCTGTGTTGTTGTTCTCCAAAGTAGCCTGATTGCAAGCTGCTTCTCATCAAGTTTTATTTATTTAAAATGTAGTATCACTCAAGGTATACACGGCCATTGTACACAGATGACATAAACAGGAATAAACCAGTTGTATATTCATTAAAATGCCAAATGCAGTCCCTTAATGTAGGTGTATTTAACAGTCTATATAGGTTACAGTGTATTAAATGTCTGTTTCCATTAATCTGTTTCAGTAGGATTTGTTTGTATTTCAGTCACCCATCCATCCAGGCAGATATCCCAGCAGGAATTTGTACCGGACAGTCCTTGTATTTTCTTTGTTTATTTAGTTTTTTTAATGGAAAGATTAAATCCCCTTGAATCAGCCAAAGTTTGTGTTTACAAAGACATAAGAAGGATAAGAACCATTCAGTCATAAAACCTGTTTATATTGTTTCTGACTTATTGTACCAAGAAAAATTAATGTCTGGATGCAAGGAAGGCAATAAAAACTTGAACTCACTGTAATTTACCAGTTTGATACACAATATGGTTCATCCAGGCATCAAACGCAACCTAACTGGAGTCTGACATATTGTCCTCTTAATAGCTTTGACACTAGATGCTGTTTTTAATTTACAGGTCATAGTATAACTGAGCATAACATTGCATTATTATTTACATGCTACATTCATCTTAACTCAGAAGACAAAAAATTATTGCTCAGGTTACTCGTTTTTTGTCGGTAAAACACAGATCTTCTTCTACAGTTTCTTTTTTTAAATCGACATTAACAAACATTGCATCAACAAAACTTTGATTTATTTTATTTCAGCTTTTTTAATCAACTGAATCCTGGTTAACTGAGTGACTCAAAAATCAACTTTTTCAATTATTCATCATTATCTTTGCCAGAAAGACTTAGATTGGAAACCCTAGAAGTATTGTTTTCATGGTCTCAAATGCTGCCTTCAGGTACAACTCAGAAGCTCCCACTTCTTGTTTAAAAGGTAATAGCTGTAAGCCTGTCTGTGACGAAAAGGCCCAACAGGGTTCCTGTCTACACTTGTTGAAGGAGTGAATCACTCGTGGTCTAATGATGATGCATAATCCACCCTAAAGTTGTGTAATGTGTTTTTTCATCACTTAAATTTGCCAACTTTCTCTTGCAGTTAAAAGACAACATAGAGAAATTCTTCACCTGGTTTGTAGAAGAAGGCAAGGCCACCGTGAGATTAAAGGAACCAGCTGTTGACATCTGTTTGAGCAAGGTATGACATCCAACATGGTGTAATTACAGTCTGAGTAATTAAAAAGCAAGAAGATTTTGTCACACAAGACTCAGAGACGAGTCACCCACTCATGCACCAGACTGGACTAGACAGACATACAGGGTTGTTTTGACTGCAGCTGATGCCCGGACAGACACCATAGCAGCTCATTGTTTCCAGCTGCTGTAAAGCCCCCCTGGCTGTTTTGAGGCATTGGTCACCTTTCACCTAGATTCTAACATAGTTCAACCTGTCACGTTGACACAAATGCACTCACACACCCCCAAACAGACTGACACCATATTAGGGACATTGGGCAGGTAAACAGGGAAAACATGATCTCCTAATTTGTAATAATTGTGTAAACCAAATTCTAAGTAACCTACATACCCACAATAAGAACATGGGAACAAAAATAAAAACATGACACCACCACCAGAAGCCTACAGCCCAAAACAAGACCATAAATTGTGAGTGTGTTTGTGTGTTTTGGGATGGGAATCGGGAACCAGCTCCAAATTCCTGAATGCAAATCAGTTCCTTTTATTAATGCCAGCATTTACTGACAGTTGTGCATTGCAAAACAATGACGTAAAACTTGTGTTGATGTGGCTGCGCTGCTGAAAACTTGCAACAGAACGAGTCGGGGCAGAGAGGAAGAAACGTTTGGTCTCATTTAATAAAGAAACAAACTATAATAATATAGTGTAATATATGTTCAGACTCAGAAAATAAAACAGTAGTGTTTCTACACATTAAATCAATAAGGAATCAATAAGGAAATCTATTAAAAAAAACATACCAGTGGGCATAATAAATACTGGTACTGGTATCAGTAAAATCTTTTGATTATAGCTTGAATTATTATTTTCCACCGTATTAGATTGTACAGGTATTCTTGAAATTGTGTCTAATCCCTGTTACATCCCGAGTCACTCACATTTATATTTCCAACAGCAAAAAGTTCATCAGGTTCATTCATAGAAGTGTGTCAAGATATTCCAGGCCGGTGAATTTAGGTTAGATATTTCAAGGAAATCCGGTCACTAGCAACCACCTGAGAAGACACATGGAGTCTGCTGTTTCTGTTACCGACTGATCCATTAATCCACCTGTAACTGTATCTATTGATTTGTAGGCGGATGCCAATAGCTTAAAGAACTTCCTCTCGGCCGCTCGCTTGGCAGACAGAGGTAGTGACACAAGCAGCCTTCCTCTCTCCACACTCACTCCTGTTCGCGCCAGAGACGTAGAGCAACCCAAGAAGAAGCTCACCATCGTTTCCAAGAAGGACTACCCCCTCACCTCCAGCTTCCCCTACTCTCTGGAGCAGCTGCAGGTCTCCTACTGCAAACTGTCAAGGGTGGACATGCGGATGCTGTCCCTTAAAGGTAGAGCGAGTCGATGGTGGTGTTTTTTTCCCTCTTTATTTTTATATCTCAGCCTCGGCTGCTTTAATTTAGAATATTCTTCAGTACTAAATAACTGGAGTGCCCCTTTAACTGCTGGTGTTTTACTTTGGCTTTGTTTTTGCAGCTCTCCGCAAGCTAGACCTCAGCAACAACCACATCAAGAAACTCCCTGCCACCATTGGCGACCTCAGCTGCCTCTCTGAACTCGTCCTCCACAACAACCACCTGGAAGCCTTCAGCGTGGCCCTCTGCCTGTCCACCCTGCAGCGTACCCTCCAGGTCCTGGACCTCAGCCAGAATCGACTGCAGTCCCTCCCCGCTCAGTTCTGCCAGCTCAGAGAACTAGTGAACCTCAAACTGGACGACAATGAGCTTGTTTGTTTGCCGTTCCACATCGGCCGGCTCTCGAAGTTGAGGTTCCTGTCAGCGGCACATAACCAGCTGGCTGCGTTGCCCAGTGACTTCCGCAAGCTGAGTCTGGAGAACCTGGACCTGTTTGGAAATCCGTTTGTCCAACCTAACTCTCTGGACCACACAATGAAACTTACATTCCCCCTTCCACTTCAAGAGTTGGCTTCCAGAGCTGTGGCCAACCTCAGGTCAGTACTAAGCATGCTCAGTATATTATACCGTCTGCATACGTTCTCACAGCTAACTCCTAACTGTAACTCTGTCTCACTCACCTGACAGGATACCATACGGACCTCACCTCATTCCTGCCCACTTGTGTCGGGACCTCGAAGTAGCCAAGACCTGCGACTGTGGCCGCGTCTGCATTAATTTCTACATCAAGACGGCGGTCAGCATGAACCTGCACCAAGTCTCTCACACGGTGGTGCTGGTGGACGACATGGGCGGCACGGATGCACCGGTGCAGCGGCACTTCTGCTCTCTCTCCTGCTACTCTGAATTTCTAGACAACTCCCTCCAGAGAGGAATCAGATGAGGGAGAAGAAACTGTTGTTTGACAGGAAATGCACCAAGAGCTGGAAATTGCTGTAGATTTTGCAACAGACTGCAAGTTGTGAGATATTGTAAGAGGGTATTTGATGAGACAAGGACACAAGGACTAGTAAAGCTCAGTGCTCCAGTTTTCTGGTAATGCCTTTAACTGAAAGGAGAATACTGACTCTGTTAAGCTTTGTTTTTAAAGTGCTTCATACTGCCATGTTTTACACTTACATCCAACTTATTATGCACTTCTCACACATCAGAAACGGGGTAGGAGACGAGCATAAATACCCTTTTTGTACCTGCTCCATCTGTAACTGAGTGGACTTTATGTAACTCAAACTGACACATAATGACAGTTTCCCTGTGCTGCTGGTGAGTTTCACATACAGACTGTTCTGCTCTTCCTGCCTCTTGAAGCAAACTGCAGGTTCCCCCACAGACCTACTTCTACTCAGCAAGGGAATAAAGAAATTAGATGAATTAGAGTTTTCTCCTGAACACAGAGTGCCTCAGGGTCCATGAGTAAAGGGAGTTGGTTTTTACTGTGCTAATGACCCACAACTTTTATATATATATGTGGAAAAATTCAATAAAATAGAAGTATTCATTAGGTTGTCCTATGTAGTTTATTCTAGGGCACTGAAATGATTTATGTGTTATTTTTATCACGTGTTAACAGAAGAAAAAGGTCAGATTTAAAAAAAAAAAAAAAAAGAGTTGATCATTGTTTGCTGTGTCCTGTTCCAAATGTGTGGGGAAAAGTATTGGCCACAAAACTTACGAAATACACTAAAGGTCCTATTTAGAGCCAGTGTTTGGTTTGTCTGTTCTGGGCTTCTGTAGAAACATGGCGGTTCAACATGGCACACTGTGGAAAAGGACCCACTAAAAACTGCTTATTCTAATTTAATTACACATTAATGAAAACATACCTATTATATTCCATTTCTACCAATAAGATCCTCTTAAATATTACACAGTGGACCTTTTAATATTATTAATACTGCAGACGTTGTAACTGATCCAAGTTGCATTCAATGGTGCTATAATACAAAAACATAAATCCAACCCTTTCTGAACCCTTTGCACACAGCCCTCAGTCCAGCTCATACATCAGGGAGTTTTGGAAGATGAACCCAGCGGATGTGGAATGATCGCTGATGACCTTTTCATTTCCATCTTTATCGATTTCCCTCAGCAGCCCAGACGGTGGCCTGTTGTCGTCGTGCTCTGGGGCTTGGAAGATTCTCTCCCTCTCCTCCCGCTTTACTGCCCCCGTGGCACGTTCCTCAGAGGAGAGGGTGACCCCGTTGCCTGGACCTCCTCTGCTTGACTTGTTCGCGTCATGTGTGACGGCCATCTTGCTGCACTCCTCAGTCCCCTGGGAGATACAGCAGTCCGTCATGTTGCTCTGGTTTTGAGTGTCAGCTGGTACGGGAGACGCAGCCCCGCCGGATCTGTGATGTAGACATTCAGCTTCTGTTTCCACCTAGAACAGAAAAATATAAGTCAACAGGAGTTTGATCACACACACACACACACACACACACACACACACACACACACACACTTGTGCCTGCTCTTCAACATGATAATCAGAATTTATCTCACCTTCAGGCTTTCATTAAGAGTCTCCTTCACCTCTTCAGTCTCCTCTTTGACGTCTGAAGTCTTCATTTTGGGTGTCGACTCAAAACTAGAGTTCAGATTTACGTCTCCTTCTTCTGTTATGCAACCTGGACGTTCAGCGGTGATGAAAACAGGCTGGTTTTCTGTTTCAGGCGAAGCCACACAGGAGTTTTCTTCTTCTTCGGCAGGAACGTCCATACGTCGCTCAACAGTATCCCAACTTATTACACCTCTTGTCTCCTCTGCACCGTCACATCCATCTTCCCTTATTTTGTTATGTTTGCTTCTTCCTGTGTCTTCATGTTGCTGCCTTTTCTGTAGGTTTCTGTTTCCAGCTTCTTCCTCGTTTTCCTGCTTCTGCCCTGTCACTTTCTCCTCTTCCACACTTTCTTGGCCTCTTCCCACCAGTTCCTTCCATTTTGCTTCTTCCTCCACACTAATTTCCTCATCTTTGCTATTTTCTTCTTCCCTCACCTCCTCCTCCCCTTTGTCCCAACCTTTTTCTTCCTCTTCCTCACCTTTCGCTACTACTGTCCACTGCTCCTCTTCAATGTCTCTTTCCTCCTCCTCTTCACTTTTCAGGTATTCCCTCTCCATCTCCTTCGACGCATCCTCCTCCTCCTCCTCCTCCACCTCACTTTTGCCCTCCTGCCCCTCGTCAGCACTAACAGCAAAATCCAAAGCTTCATTGGAAGGAAGAACAGGCAGTGTGACAGTAAGCTGTCCTCTCTGTTTGTTGAACTTGGCCTCTCCTTTCTCTTCATCCACAGCGTAGGCTAAGGGCAGCTCCAGTCTGTAGTTTGGTTTCTTGGACTCCAGCAGCAGTGTTCTCTCCTTTACCTCGAGGCTGGCATCCGTGACCGCCTTCAGAAGCGGCATGTCGATGGTAACCACTATCTCTTTGGGCCTGGGGCTTTGGGCAGAGTCTCTAGAACACCTAAAGTCCTGCAGATCAATAAAAGATCGATATTTGACTGTGTAGTTTGGCTTGGTTGGCTCTTTGGTTTCCAGAGGCTGGATCTTAGGTGCAGCATCACTGCTGTTTTTTGTCGCAGGTGATTCTGTAGGCTTGGTTTGTGAGGAGGAGGCAGGTCGTTGGTCTTCTGGGTACGGGAATGAAAGAGGGTCAGGCTTCTCTGAGACCCCCTTGGCTTTATACCCGGGTATGGGTCTTCGGATGACACAAGGCTGCGGGGTGCCTTTGTATTTTGTGCTCATCTCTCTCACATTATTCTTATCCAGAGTCACGTTAAAAGCATCCTGGATTCCCTGAATGGCTGTGCTGTCCACCATATCCATGAATCTGGTGTTTTTGCTTGCAATGTGGAGAGTGTCAGGGTGGAAAATAACATCATAGATCAGGATCTTGTTCCCCTTTGGGTCTATGTCTTGCCTCCCTGGGTGCAGACTGTGAGGCAGAGACCAGCGCTGCCCTCTGCGGCCTTCCTCTGACACCCCCCATGCACTGGCAGGCTTTCCAACTTTTTCATTGGCACAGATATTGATGAAACACTTCTGCTTGCCGTTCACGCTCGTCCTGAGGGCCCTGAATGGTTCCGGGTGGATAAACTCGACGGTGTTTCCTCTTTCCTGCTCCAACATTTTGATCTCCTCCTCGTACCTTTTCTTATTTTCGGGGTCGGATAATTCTCGGGTGTAGTCGAGCAGCATTTCCCGGAATTTCTCGTCTTTGAAAGCATTTGTGAGCCTGTCGATTTCATCCACTGTCATGTTCAGTTCTTTTAGTTTATCTCCGGCCTCCATGCTGATAACGGCGAGGACAATACTGAGGCGGAGGAAGTTAACGGACGCAACTTGGGTGAGATAAAAAGCCCCCAAAATATAGAATATAATATAATTAGGTCCGAAGCGAAGTAAAAAAAAAAAAAAGTAAACAATGCTACAGTCTGTCCTCGCCGGGTAAATGCGGAATTTGCCGTCGTTTATTGTCCATTAATGTGTGTTTTACCTGGTGTTGGACCTCCAATTGGAAACAAACCGTCCAAATATACTTGTGTTTGTGTAACCATAGCAACCCGAGAGTCACTGGTGCAACAAGGAAACACTTCCGTGAGAAACATTTTTCTTGCAGTCAATCTTTGATTTAAGTTTGATTATTATATAAAGAGTCGACTGACTAAATATAAAAGCAAAGAATTAAACATTTAGATTAACCAAAAGGGAAAGAATAGAGTCTATATTCAAGTAACCCATTAACATGATAGTGTTACAGTGAGTCAGCATGCACAATACCAAGAAGCAGCTTCATGAAATTCAACAGTTTTATTATTGATACCAGTGCCACAGGTTATCATAAGAACAATCAAAGTAAACAGGATTATAATACCCCTATCTCACATTTATTTCATTCATACTCCATATTACTCAATATCTTCCCATTTATATATCCCCTTGATTAATGCCAACCTTCACTGAAACTAGTTAAATTGGTTATAAATGAAGGATAATACAAAATTATTTCTTGAGACCACACTAGGAAGCTCCTGAATTAATTTTGGGTTGCTTTTGTAGTGTAATTAAAAAGTCATGGACAGAGGAACTATCTTAAAACTATCTTTATGCCAAACCACTAACTCTAATTGATACTGACAACAATTTAAGGTCACATAATGGTCTTTGGATGAATACAATAAACCTTTTGATGCCTTACTATAATATAAATATACTATAAATCCAATAGCATTTACAAAATAATGACATATTATTATTTGTAGTCTTTTCTTTATGCCTTTCAATTTGTGTACTATCATTACAAAAAACTCATATTTCCCCAATAACAGGTGGCTTAGGTGTACTCTCAAACTGTTATACTCCACTAAACATGTTTCAAATAGTTTCTGTTGGAGACTAGGATTTCCTCCAGTGGATTTAAATCGTTTAATGACATGAATGCACCACCAGATGTCAGTGTAGACCACCGCTCGGGTGGCACATGGCCAGTGAGTATGTCGGTCAGTAAGGCAAAGGGGCGGGTATGCAGGGGAGAGAAGTGATTGGTCGCACCCCCAACAGTTCATATTTCTCACTGTCTGATTGGAAGGGGTGTGCTGTTACTAGGTATGGGACCACTGCTTATGAATGTGTGGGAGAGAGAGAGAGAGAGAGAGAGATGATGGAGGCAGCACAGAGACCCACACTGTGGTCCAGCAGTATCTTAATGGGTTATTTTTATTGTTCACTCAATAAAACCTCGACATGCATCCTCCACGTTTCTCCAGTTGAAAATGAATTCTTTCTTACACTTCATGTTAATTTATATGGCCACGGTTATGAACAGCAACTTTTATTTGTAACCACAGCAAGGCGTGTTTTGCTAAATTACGCCTGACTAATAAGAGACCTTTGAATGAATATTACTCAGTGTATTATGCAAGAATCACATAGCCCCAGAGCCTCCATGTTCCCATGTGACAGAGGTGATTGGGCTCAAATGATCAGTTAATAATCTGAGACAAGTTAAACAAGTCTCTGTTTTGTCTGCTCTTACTCATCAGGATCTCTGGCTCTGAGCTAATGAACAGGACACAATGTCCCCAAATGTTCTCACCAAAAGTACTTTTAGAACACCAAAGAAAAATTTCATTCAGTCAGAAGACCAAGAGGGCGGCAGTGGTTGTGTGTATGTGTGTGTGTGTTGGGGGGGGAGTCACAGTGTGACGCACACAGGATGTGGGCAGGCACCACTCACTGCATTTCTGCATGAGACAGCCGGGAAAGATTGCTGACTACACTTTACCTAGATCCCACACTGCGTCTTTCCCGGATTAAAGATCGGAAAAGGTCATAAAAAGCACAAAGAATGACTAATTTAATCTTTTGTTTATTACAAATATGTATTAAATAATATGAAAAGTTAGACAGGGAGATATAATCAAGTTATAATCATAGTACTGATGATTAATATTCATATTTACATGTTTTTTCATGTTAACATTTTCCCAAATATGACAAATAAATGCATTTCATAGTACAACAAACAATACATTCACATAGACACATATATATATATATATATCAGTATCAATACACTTGTGTTTGTGTTGATACTGTTGATCAAAAGTATTGGAGGAGGGGTGAAGCAGGTGAAATGTATAAGACAAACTTCATACAAAGGCTTTGGCAAGAGTGCATACATCTTATCATTTATATCAAAGTAAACAGAAGAATCCTTTAGAGAAAAATACATGTACAAATGAGCAGGAGAGAGGAAAAAAAGAGTCCAGTGCATGTTTTCTTTTTCATTCCCATGAGTAAAATAGCAGCAGCCTTGTGTGCTTGGCTGCTCCCTGTTGTATCTTGGGAGTAGGTACGATGGCAGTGTTCATTGTCTACTTGGAGCCGGCAGGCACCAGCATGCTTAGCGTGGCAAGGCCAGGTTTTGAGGGAGGTGTTTTGCCGGCGACCATTTTGTTCAGGCTTCGAACATCAGCCTGCCAGGAGGGAATTTTCTTTGTGGTCATGTGACGTCGGGCGTGTTTGGTGAGGTGATCACTGCGCATGAATCGCCGGTCGCACACGGGACACACAAATTTTTTCTCGCCGGTGTGAGTTCGTCGGTGGCGGGAGAGCTCGTCGGAGCGGGCAAACCTCTTATCGCAGCCTTCCCAGCTGCAGCTGAAAGGCTTCTCACCTACGAGAGGGAAACACGGACACAAACAGGAAAAGTAAGGAGTCAGCAAGTGAGTCACACTGCAGTCATAAAAAAAAAAAAACTTTACACGACACCAGGACGCGTGTGAGATATAACAATGAGCTCACTCTCTTCCCATCAAGAAGAACAAGGCCAATGAATGTTTAACAAACAGGATGCAACAGTCATCTGTGGTCAGCTTGTTCCACATCCTCATGAGTATCCATTAAACACTTCTATATCTATCTATCTATATCTATGTATATCTATCTATATATATAGATAGATATATAGATATATGACTGAACGCTCACCTGTGTGTGTTCTTAGGTGAGCCTTGAGGTGTGAGCTCTTGAAATACGTCTTCCTGCAGCCTGGGAAGTTGCAGACGTAGTTTCTCCTGCGGGAAAAGTCCATCTTTGTGGCTGTTGTACCGCCACTGGGCCCCGCTGGCAGGTACACAGGGGCCGGGGCCAGAGGTAGCAGCTTTGTGTTGCCCAGCGTCATGACAGTCTGAGGACAGTGAGGGGCCTGAGAGATGGAGGACTGAGGGAGGACCAGCATCACCGTGCCCTGGGGCACCGCTGAGCCCACGATGAGGGACTGCTGTACAGGGCAGGAGTTAGCTGAGGCGGGATGGGGGAGGATGGACGTGGTGGCGGTCCGAATCCCAGCATTTGATGTCTGAACAGTGCCTGGTATGAAGGCTGAGATTATACCTGATTGGCTGCTGACAGGGAACATCTGGCAGATGATTTGAGAGCTGGTGACTGAATGTGGGGACAGGGTTGCGGGAGCAGTGGGTGGGCTGTTCTGCAGTTGGGTACTGACATGAGTGGAGGTGGAGAAACTGTCAAAACAGGGTTTTGAGGGACTGGCTTGCTGCTCTGTTATTGAGGCGAACAATGTGGGTGTAAGAGCAGTAGGAGGAGATGGAGGTGTGCTTATCTGCTCAGTCTTTGTAAAGCGCTGCTGCTGTTGCTGCTGCTGGTAGACCACTGCAGCCATTACTGTGTCTCTAGTTTTCTCTGGATTGGGGGCCACTGGAATGTGGTGTTGGCAGGGGGTGCTGTCTGCGGTGTGGCGGATGACGCTGGTCGCCATGGCTCTGCAGGGCTGTGGCAGACGGGAAAAGGGGGAGGAAGGGGGGGTCTTTTCAGTGACGGGTGCCAGGACAGGTTGATGAAGCCCGGATCCACAGTGTTGTGTAGACACAGCCAGTACAGAGCCAGACTGGAGCGTTGAGGTCTCGACAAAGCTGGGGCTGTGAGGAGGAGTCATACACTGGAAGGAGAAGGGAGAGGAATCAACCCGTGTATCCCAACACCACTGTAACAACACAGTATTTGTCTCTAGTTTTAGAGAGGAGCGAGTTTGCATAAGTATTACAGGTGGTAAGCAGCTACACACAGATAATAATGATCACTTTGAGCCATAAACTGGGATTTTTATGACCCTGTTTCAAAGTGGAGGGAGTGTCTGAAGGTCAGACCACCTTACTGTATCAAGGCTTTTCTTGCCTTTCCCCAGTCTGAAGTCATAAACCATGGTTCCACTTATCTTACTCACATCAAAAGGCAATGGGGTTTAATGTAAACCTTGACTCTCAGGGATGTTTACTAATCAAACATCAGTAATCTCAGTGGTTTCACAGCTCTGTGTGATTTCAGTACCGGCTTGTTGCAGTAGCTGATATACATATTATTCAATGGTTTGACCCCCATGATAAGTCACTTACCAGAGAAGAGAGGGACACAAAGTCCTTCGGGGGCTCTGGAAGTTCTGGCGGCAAGAGGGAGTCACAGGAGTCCGAGGCCGGGGTGAGAGGTCTGGGCTTGCAGGGGTTCGGCCTGTTGCTGCCGAGGAAGTGGCTCTGGCCCCAAGAACTCATGCAGACCAGGGCTTCAGCTGCCTCCAGGTCCGTGTACTCCAGGCCAGACGTCCCACTACAGACAGACTGTTCACTATCGTGCCTCCGTCTCTTTGCGTAGGACCCACAATGATCCATGTACTCAGTCTGAAGAAAACAAAATAAAAGTATTTCATTATTGCCACATCATTGGGTTATTTCCGACTGTGTTGATTCAGTTCGGACTCAGATCTGATTACGGCATAAATGCAAACAAAATTGAGGCTTTTTATTTTATTAACCAGAATGGCGGAGAGTGGAGAGGGGGAAGGAAAAACACAGTTATGATCTGCTCTGTCACTGTTCCTCAATCTAAAGTTCCCAGCCAAACTACACAATACTGCCAATAAGTGAGAGGGGGTGTTGGTGACTACACCCCAGCCCAGCATGCACTGCCTCTGGCTCACAGCCAGGACACCTCCCATTGCCAAATATAGACCA